GTATGCTTAGTGAAATAAAACAGTCTTAAAAAGACAAACATCATGTTTTCCCTGATATGGTGCAGTCAATACAGAATATGAAAAATGTATAGGAATGAAATGGGCATCCTGTGATACAGCTTTCTTTTTTAGCTCTTGTTTATACTTGTCTGGAACTGACTGTGGTCTTCCTACTTTTTTACTTGTTGAATATTATGGTTAGTGGTGAATAGAGTGGATTAAATTATGTCTGCAAAAATAGTGACTGGAGGAAAGGGGGGATAGGATTTAGGAAAGGGAGAGGGAAGGAAGTATGGTTATCATCTTAGAATTGTATCTATGAAATACATGAAATCAGTTTTCTTTATATTAATAAAAAAAGCCCTAGACTTTGTAGCAGTCTTGCATGTTTGTAGTTTTTATACTTTTGAGGTACTCTCTATTTTTCCTTTTAATGCTACTTCCTATTTTTGGAAAGATTATTTAATTTCCTTGGTTGGCTTTTTGGTTTTGTGCATGCAAAATAAATACTGGATTGTTCTTTTGTGATGTGTGTGATAGTTCCTTTAAAGATATAAAAGTCAAATCTCTTGGATAATAATTATATCTATTCAATTTATTATGGTACAGGAAATTATATTGGGCACTTTAGAGGCATTGTTTAATTTACTCCTCATAGCAATCCAATGATTAAGTTATTCTGGTTTGCAGAAAAATAAACTTGAGTCTCCAAGAGATTAAATAATTTGGCTGAGGTCACACGGTAAGTGAGGGCAGCATTTTTCAAATGTTGCTCTGAAATTCCAAGGCTCAAGTATTCAATCAACCAACTATATTGCTCTAATGGGGGTATTTCAAAACATGATGTTTCTGGAAGTCAGTGTATAATTTATCCATAATAGATAATTTTTTTTTATTTATTTGACAAGTAGAGTTATAGACAGTGAGAGAGAGAGAGAGAGAAAAGTCTTCCATTGGTTCACCCCACCAAATGGCCTCTAAGGCTGGCTCTGCGCTGATCTGAAGCCAGGAGCCAGGTGCTTTCTCCCAGTCTACCATGTGGGTGCAGGGGCCCAAGCACTTGAGCCATCCTCCACTGCCTTCCCAGGCCACAGCAGAGAGCCGGACTGGAAGAGGAGCAGCCAGGACAGAATACGATGCCCATATGGAATGCCGGTGCCGCAGGTGGAAGATTAACCAAGTGAGCCATGGTGCTGGCCCCCAGATAATGGATAATATTTTAACAAGTGATTAGGAGCAACCATAAGAGAATGAAGTATTGTGTGTTTTAGTGGTATGCCTGTATATTAAAATGCATGAATAGGGGCTGGCGCTGTGGCTCACTTGGCTAATCCTCCGCCTGCGGTGCCGGCACCCCAAGTTCTAGTCCTGGTTGGGGCGCTGGATTCTGTCCCGGTTGCTCTTCTTGCAGTCCAGCTCTCTGCTGTGGCCCGGGAGGGCAGTGGAGGATGGCCCAGGTCCTTTTGCCCTGCACCCGCATGGGAGACCAGGAAGAGGCACCTGGCTCCTGGCTTCGGATTGGTGCAGTGCGCTGGCCGTGGTGGTCATTTGGAGGGTGAACCAATGGCAGGAAGACCTTTCTCTCTGTCTCTCTCTCTCACTGTTTAACTCTATATGTCAAATAAGTAAAAAAAAATTCATGAATAGAGACAGCAGTGTGTGTGTGTTTGTGTCTGTGTGTGTGTACACATACCTGCCTCTATTTCTAGACATCTGTTTATATTTCTTTTTCTAAAGTTTTGTTTATTTCACTTTTATTTTCTTTTTACTTGAAAGGAAGAGCGACAGAGAGACAGAGAGAGACAGAGAGATCTTCCGTTGCTGATTACTCCCCAAATGCTTTCAAGGGCTGGGTTTGGGCCAGGCTCAAGCCAGGAGCCTGAAATTCAATCTTGGTTTCTCATATAGGTGCAGGAACCCAAATGCTGAGCCATTAACTGCTGCCTACCATGGTGTACATTAGCAGGAAGTTGGAGTTGGGAGTGAAGCTGTGATCGGAGCCCAGACACTCTGATACGAGATGAAGGCATCCCAAGCAGCATCTCAATTGCTGTGCTAAATGCCCATCCCTATGTTTGTAATATTTCATGAGAATCACAACATTTTTGAAATATATTTTGTGATCCAGAGTAAGAATGGTCTATATTAGGACTTGGTAATTTTGGCTTTATACTTCAAGATGATGAACTTTCCCTCTGCCCCCGACCCAATCCTTGGTTAAAAATTCTTTAGGCTCCAGAGATACAGAGAATTACATTCCTGTGCTTGCTACAGTGAGAATAAGTTGCCTGGGACTTGTCAAGTAGGTTGAAGAGGACTCTCACATGATGAGCATGTCTTTGTAAAAATGCATGCAAATCTTTTTGTATGAAAGCTTCCTAATAAGATTTCATTCTTGATATGTTAAAAATATGTAAAAACACAAAATCTTACCAGATCTTTATGGTTAACGTTTGTAAACAAAGAAAGAGACTAAATGGATCTTTATTTGTAATTCTGATATTGTATTTACTTGCTTTTTAAATATTTCTGATATTTAAATTTACATATCAATAATTTTGAAATAGTAACATAGAAAGTGCCCAAATACCAATCACTCACTCACCCTGTTATTAACATCTCATATTTGTGTATTCTTCACAATTGATGAACCACACCCATCTTCCTTCCCAAACTACTTTTATCCTTCCTACCCCTTCTAGCCTCTTCTAGTCAACCTTTTGTGTTCAGGTTGAGTTTTCTTTTTAACTTTTGTTCCCACGAGTGAAGGAAAACATACAGTATTTGTCTTCTGTTTCTGGCTTGTTTAATTCAATATGATGTCCTTCAGTTCCAATCATTTTGCTGCAAAGGACAGGATCTCCTTTTTTTAATAGCTGAATGGTATTCTGATGTGTATATATACCACATTTTCTTTATCCATTCATTATATGGTGGTTGTCTTGGTCAATTCCACATTTTGGCTACTGTGAACAGTGCTGCTATAAACAAGGTGGGGCAGATATCTTTTTCTTGCTCACATAAAGTCCCATCAGTCCTTGAGATAATGACTCCATGCAGTTGTCCAGAGAGCAAGACCTATGGAGATCTGCAGTTTCAACATGGAAATTTTTTTCTTTCATTTTTTAGAATTTATTTACTTAATTAGAAGGCAAAGTTACACACACACACACACACACACACACACAGAGGGAGAGAGAGATCTTCCATCTACTGGTTCACTCCCCCCAACAACAGGGAACTTTGGAAGTCACTTTGGCATTGAAAGCCAGATGAAAGTTGAGAGGAAAGAGAAAATTGAAGATCATCTAAGAGATTTATGCAGATTGTGCTTGAAAGTGTGATGTGTCTTCTCCACCCACATCTCACTGTCCATGACTTAGCTATTTGGCCCTATATATATATGGTAGAGGTTGTGAAATGCAGCCTCTATTTTGTGCAAAATCTCCACAGCAAATTCACTAAATTAAGTGCAAACAGAGGCATTACTATTAAGGAGCATTGGCCCAGGTGTTGTGGAACAATGGGTTGAGTTGCCACCTGACATGCTGGTGTCCCATTTCAAAATGCCAGTTTGAGTAAGCTGGTCTGCTTCCAATTCAGCTCCCTGCTGATGTGCCTAGGAAAGCAGCTGAAAATGCCCCAAGTGCTTGGACCCCTTCCACCAACATTGGAGATCCAGATGGAGTTCCAGGCTGTAGGCTTCCACCTGACCCCTCCCCGGCCATAGCAGGATGAGCCAGTAGATGGAACATCTCTTTTCTCCCCATCTCTCTCTGACTTGCTGTCACTCTGCCTTCCAAACAAATAAATGTTACAGAAAATAAGGACATTGATTTCAGTGAAATAGCATATCTTAGTAAATCAAGCAACTAAAGAAGGAATATGCAGAAAAATCTTCAAATCTACAAATGGTAAAAACTTCTTTATGTCATTTTAATCTTGAATTTTTATTTTCTGGAATTAAAATTCAGGAAGACCTATTTGCTTATAGTTTCCCCTAAAATTACAAGAAAAAGGGTTCATAGTGTTTGGGTAACATTTTGTGATTTAAAATAACCCCAAGAGCCTGAGCCTTGGAGTCAGCAGGCTATGGCAAATGTTTCTGTACACAAATACATGAAATAATGTGGCAAGAGAAAATATTTCAAAGTTCACTCAAAGGATAATGGCTGTTAAAATCTGTACCTCAGCAAAGATCCTGAAAGTTGCTGTATGCTTTCACAAAGTCATCAGGACAATGGCCGTCCAGAACAAAGATCCCCAATATACTGAAGGTCATTGTGAAGGATATTGAACACAAACATAGAAGATTAGTCTCATGTTAGATACAGATGACCTTGGATCATCTAGGTTGCTGCACTTGTTGAAGATAATCCCCAAGGCTAAAACCATTATTTAAACAAAGTGTTCTGAAAATAGAAATGTTAAGGGATGTAAAACTCTATTGGGCATTTCATGTGTATTTATGACTGCATGCTTGCCATTGTGTGTTTGCTGTGTGTACATACACTCCTCTCAGTCCACATCGGCAGTGGTCTGAACTTCTAGACAAAATCCTGTGCCCCAAAGTTGACACTAAGGACTGGAGCTTCCAGATGCTCAAAAGAAAGAGCTGTTCCTGGAGGCCCCAAGATACAACAGTGAAAGCAAAGTGGAATAATTTTGCATAACAAAGTAAATCCAAGAAATGTGCTAATAGATATCATCTTTTCTGTTTCAAACATGCTGGCACATCAGGGGAAGTAATGAGACAGTACCACTGTCTATTACACCACAGGGCATTATTTCTGTTTTTAGAAGTGTGATATTGGACAGTTTGTTATTTTTATCACTTATTCAGTAAGGGGGTGGATGACAGCAAATGGGGGAAGGCAAAACAAAGATAAATCTCACTTGTATCCCAATTTCTCCCTAGTTTGTGCCTACAGGACACCAGTGGTAAAATCATCTACACTACTCTCTGGCCCTAATGATGGTGGAATCCCCTGTACTTGCAGGTGACTGAAGTCCATGCAGAAAGAGCAGTGTGAGTTGAAACCAAAGGCTGCACCACAAGAACCATCAAGATCAAGATCACTGGCGGAAGAAGACGCCAAGGAGGCAAGGCAAGCATAGCTAAATTAGAAATGTGAATTTAGTGGTGGACAATTCTGTGATTGCGCTTTTCAGAGAGGAAGGCTTTACTATTCAAAGGTTCAGAGATAAGCAAAAAGGAGCAAAACCTCTAAGTTCTAAATACTGGAGAGTGTCTCCTTTTTGAGTCCAGTTAGAGCTTCCTGAAAATTCTCTGTCCTAAAAGCCTTGCATTTGTGCTGGTGATACTCATTTCTAGATGGAACCTCAGTGTCTGCTCTACAGCCTGGCTTCTCTTACCTTGTGCATTATACCAAAAACTGGTATAAAGCCCTGACTCACTTGGCCACGCCAGCAGCACAGCCATACCTGTATCCAACACTTACGTAGGCCCTACTTTTGTTCCTGCCCTACTGCAGGCTTTCCCCTCCCCCAGCCGTATTTAACTTCAACCTATCTACCATTTTCTTTTAGATTTCAATTTCCTGCAATGACACCCGGTATGTTCATACCAAGAAATGGCAGCTACTCCATCCTATATATTTTCTTTTTCCAAAAATATCATCCCAGGTGCAGCAACTTGTGTTCATTGCCTGTCATTTTTTTCTCCACCTTCTCATGCTCCCATTTGTCTCCCAGGGAGGGTGGCAGACCTTTCCTGCTTTGATTTATCTTTTAAAATCTAAATCCTGATGTCCAGATGTCCATTTTCTTTTAAAAAAATTTATTTTTATTTATTTGAAAGTCAGCGTTACACAGAGAGAAGAGGGCAAAGAGAGAGAGAGAGAGAGAGAGAACGAGGTCTTCCATCCGCTGGTTCACTCCCCAGTTGGCTGGAATGGCCGGAGCTAAACCGATCCGAAGCCAGGAGCCAGGAGCTTTTTCTGGGACTCTCATGCAGGTGCAGGGGTCTGAGGACTTGGGCCATCTTCCACTGCTTTCCCAAGCCATAGCAGAGAGCTGGATGGGAAGTGGAGCAGCCAGGTGTTGAACCGGTGCCCACATGGGATGCTGGCGCTTCAGGTCAGGATGTCATCCCACTGCACCACAGCACCAGCCCCCAAATGTCCATTTTCAACCTTCAAATCTCCTTCACCATTTCCACCATAGAAATCCATCTTACAAGGAGACCTGGTGGGATGCTTTGTGGTGTGATGCCGCAGAATTCCTGAAATGGTTTTGTTACCAGCGAGTGTCAGGGTTCTTGTCTTCGCGCAAGAAAGAATTCAGGCATGAGACAGAGTAGTGAAAAATAAAATAGCAAGGTTTATTAGGGAAGGGACATCCGTAAGAATGGATGGGCACCTCTCCAGACAGGACCCGAGAGAGAGTGCCCAGTCCTCAGACTGGGGAAAGAGTGAGGTTACACTGTTGAGTGGAGAGAGTACACCTGGGCAGTTCAGGCGGGCGGCTCAGCAGAGAGGCAGAGGACTGAGTGGGCAGTCTGATTGAGGCCGGGAGTTTCTAAGGAGATAGGTCTTTGTCTTCACACAGCTCCTCCTGAAACAAAATACTTTATGTATATAAATAGAAAAACCCCTATCTGAGTTTTTTCCCTGAAGTTATCAGACAGGGGGAAGTCTGGCTGGCACCACCCCCATTAGAGGAAGGGCAAGGAGGGCTGAAGTGCAGATACTGGGCTGCAGCTGGAAGGTTATCAGGCAGAAGGGGCAGGGACCCCCACCTGGCAGGTTATCGGGTAGGAGGGGGCAGGGCAGGATGCGAACACTGGGCTGCCCCTGAAACGTTATTGGGATGACTTTGAGATGCAGATGCTGGACATAGACGTCTTCTCTTTAGGCCTTTGTCACACACACATAAGCTCATATCTGACTTCCTATCTAACAGTTTTGGGTGCAGAATACATCATCTCACTCTTCTTTCTTTTTGTTTCTCCTCTGTATCCATATTAACACACAGAATATTTTCCCCATTTGAAATCAACGGGCTCTGTAAAATAATGTACTGCATTGGATCTCTATATAGTTTGATCTTATTCCCTGAGAATTGTCTGCCCTTGTATAGGAAAACATATTGAGACAATGAAGAACACATAAAACCATCCTGGGACTATCTGTAGTAGTGAATACATTGAGAGCTGTCCAGTGTCTCGACCCAATATTTTTTTTTTTTTTTTTTATTTTTTGACAGGCAGAGTGGACAGTGAGAGAGAGAGAGACAGAGAGAGAAAGGTCTTCCTTTTGCCGTTGGTTCACCCTCCAATGGCCGCCGCTGCAGCCGGCGCACTGCGCTGATCCGATGGCAGGAGCCAGGAGCCAGGTGCTTTTCCTGGTCTCCCATGGGGTGCAGGGCCCAAGCACCTGGGCCATCCTCCACTGCACTCCCTGGCCATAGCAGAGAGCTGGCCTGGAAGAGGGGCAACCGGGACAGAATCCGGCGCCCCAACCGGAACTAGAACCCGGTGTGCCGGCGCCGCAAGGTGGAGGATTAGCCTATTGAGCCAAGGCGCCGGCCTCGACCCAATATTAACTCCCTTCTCTGAGAGAGTAGCCTTGCTATGAGTGGATGCTCCAGGCCTCATATTTCAGACTTTTGATTTTCTTGAGCAGAGTTCTGGGGGCAGTGTCTATGAAGGGAAGCAAGCTAAGGACCAGAATGAACCAGAGACCAGTATTCTTTCCAAGTGAGTTTATCTCTGTTTGCTCAGCCCAGGGGCTCTTTTGGTTGTACCCTCCAACAGTCTTTACAGTTCCTATCTGAAGTCATCACAGGTAAGTTGAAAGAAGGAGACAGCTCCTCTTGCGGCTCAGTTATTTTTAATGACATGGAACCCCCTTGATTGTGGACCCTATGTACTTGTAGAGGACAGGACCAGTCTGGCTCATAGACTCTTAGCCGATTGCAGGATGATGTTGGTCAGTATCTTGAGAGCAGACTATACCCTATTTTAAACCAGGCCAACATTGTGAAAGCTACTATAAAGACTAAGGTAAGCACAATACAGTCTTTTTGTCACCAGAGAAAAGCCGTGGGGTTCTTGTCTTTATGCAAGAAAGAATTTAGGCATGAGACAGAGAGCAGAGTAGCAAGGTTTTATTGAGGACAGGGCATCTGTAAGAATGGAAAGCACAAAGAGAGAGAGAGAGTGCTCAGTTGCTTGGACTGGGGGAGGTGAGGTTACTTGGTTAAATGGAGAGAATACATCTGGAGGGCCAGGTAGGTGGCGCAGCAGAAAGCAGAAAGCTGAGCCCGAGGTCTTCGTTTAGACTCCTGCTTTTTAAGGGGATCTCTCTTTACCTCCTCCCCCTTCTCCTCCAGGACAAAGGGTTTGCTGAGTGTAATAAGTTTGTTAGACAGGAAGTCTTGCTGGCCATAGGGCTTTCCCCCAGGGTGCCTGACTTGGAGGAGAATATAGAGGTTTTATTGCTCCATGTTATCAGGCCAGGTAACCCATTTGGTGCTAAAGAGAGAGCTGTCCCCTGGGAGAAGGGCTAGGACCACCACCTGAAAGGTTATCAGGGTCTGGGCAGGACTTGGAAGTGCAGATGCTGGGCTGCTTCTAAAGTGGGCTTCTGCAGATGCCGGCTTCCTCAGGCCCCTCTTGCACACACACAGTCTTATTTCAACTTCCTCCCCAACGTTTTCTCTCAAAGGCTCTCTGCTGCCTTGGTTCTTAACTCTTGACATTTATAAGAATCCAGTGGAAATTTGTTTACAATTTTGATTACTACCTTCCTCCCAAGCTTCTAATTTCACAGGTCCTGGTGGAATTCTGAGCTCCACATTTTTATAAAAGTCCTTAGGTTATTCTTTTCAAGAATCCCATTCTGAGTAGTACGTATTTAACAAGAGGGAACTAGAAAAGCAGAAGAGGAATGATGATGAGTAGGACAAAAGGAAATCTTTCATCCTAGGATTTCCAGCAATTATGCTCAGACAGCAAACATTCCTTATGTGTACCCATGCATATATTACATGCATTGTTCTGCTTTTATCCAGGAGGTAATCACACATACAGTTTACACATTTGCCTTTCATTTGCACCTGCTGAAGAAATGGCATGCTTGTGCATGCAACTGCTGAGTTCAGCTTGGGGAATCCTAATTGAAAATGCACAACTCAAAGCAAGAGACAGGCATAATAATGTAGAAAGGGTCAGTAGCCAGATGTATTATTTTCTCTTATAACTACGCTTTTCTACTGGCAGAAAAAGAGGCAGTAACATCCCAGGTATATGTGGTTGCCATAGGGATTGTGATTTACCGGAAAACATTGCCACAAATAGCAATGAAATAGCAATTCGGAAGAGGTCAGAGGCACAGATTTGCTGAAGCTACAATCAAACCAGACAGCTGCTCAATCCATTCAATAAGAATTTTGCAGTTGCCATTGTAAGGTAAGTGGAAGAATGGTGAAATCAAGCTGAATGTTTCCTTCTTGCTAACATTTCTTCAAATGCCCCAAGGTCTTTTGCCCAGAGCTTTCAAGCTGCTTTGTCAGGCACTCTGGGTAGTTGAAGAAAAAGACAATAGATAAAAATGTCCCTTTTAATCCAGTGACTTAAAAGTCAAAATTCAGAACCATAATGAAATTCTAAAATCTGACACCTTATGATCCGACTTAGAGACAAATAGGTTTATCTATTGAATAGAAACCTGGAAGTTAGTGCTCAAGTTAACCTGTGAAGCAATTCCTGTCTTTCTGAAAGATACAACTTAATTACTGTTTGACAGATGGGTGTTGTGTGAATGTATATTCACATATATGTACGCATTGTACACACACATAACAGTTACTATTTTCTTTCATGGAGTAGATTTAGCTAGCAGTGTTCACTGTTTCCTACCTCCTCCCCTACCTATTTTTCTCCTAGAAAATGTGGCCCTGGAATGAGAACTGTCCATGATTTGTCTTGGGGGTGTGAGCTTAGCATGTCTTTCAATGTTTTCTCCCTCTTTGTCAGCATAGATCCTGAAATTCTGCTTCCTTTGTCTCTCCAGCTGAGTCCAATATATGTTTTCCTTGCTTTGTCTTCTGCCCTAATCTCCATCTATTAACCATTAACATTTTCTGTTACATTTGTGTGTGTGTGTGTGTCAGTGTGAGTGTGTGTGTTTATGCTAGGATTTGGTGGCAGGATGGTGTCTTCAAATGTGTATTTTACCTAAATATTTCATTTCCCTTTAATTATCAAGTATTTCCATCCCAAGTGATGGAATAAGCAGAACAAGCAAAGTAAGACAAGTCATAGTCTCTGTTCAAAAGGAACATAAAGTGGAGTAAGACTCAGAACAAATTATTAACATACACAGAATGGTGTGGATTATATACGAGGTTAAATGCCTCGCTGGCTCTTGTGAGAATGCCAATAATTTTGCATTAGAGTAACCCAGCGTAAGTTGAGTGCATGTGAAATGATGCAACATGATACTAGTGTGAAATGTGGTGCTAGATCTCACAGTGTCCACTCCTTAAATGCCCTCATATATTACAGGAGAAAAAAATTCCCAGGTGCATGTGTTTCTGAGCCATTAGTTAGTGTACATCTGTCTTTTTCTTTTATCAAGAAAGACAACTGTTTCCTCTGAAGTTCAAGAGCAGAAAAAGTAATTTGCTCCAGTGCTGGAAGTAAAACTAGCTTTTCTAACTTCTGAGGAATCCCTATGCCAGTCTCCAATGTATCTTGTCCTTAATTAGTATCATTTTCCCCTTCATCTTAAAGCATTTTTACACTTACTTGTGTGATTTCAGTGTAGGAGTGGAGACTTGAATTGATCAGTGCATGGCACTGTATTGACTGATGTGCAGTTAATCTGTGCTGTCATCATTGGTCTTCTGGAAATTTGTGTTCCTGATTTTCTCCTGAATTGCTGGTATCTATTATTATTTTTTTTCTTTTTTTTTATTTATTTAATGAATATAAGTTTCCAAAGTACGAATAATGGATTACAATGGCTTCCCCCCCATACCGTCCCTCCCACCCACAACCCTCCCCTTTCCCACTCCCTCTCCCCTTCCATTCACATCAAGATTCATTTTCGATTATCTTAATATACAGAAGATCAGCTTAGTATACATTAAGTAAGGATTTCAAGAGTTTGCTCCCACACAGAAACATAAAGTGAAAAATAATAGATGATTTTTTTTTTTTAATGATGATGAAATCAGATCAGACCTATTGTCATGTTTAATCCCAGTGAGAGTCAAGTTGGGAGTTGATAATTTCTTTCTTTTTTTTTTTTTTTTACAGAGGATCAGTTTAGTATGCATTAAGTAAAGATTTCAACAGTTTGCACCCCCATAGAAACACAAAGTGAAATATATTGTTTGAGTACTCGTTATAGCATTAAATCTCAATGCACAGCACATTAAGGACAGAGATCCTACATGAGGAGTAAGTGCACAGTGACTCCTGTTGTTGACTTTACCAATTGACACTCCTGTCTATGGCATCAGTAATCTCCCTATGCTCCAGTCATGAGTTTCCAAGGCTATGGAAGCCCTCTGAGTTCTCCAATTCTTATCTTGTTTAGACAAGGTCATAGTCAAAGTGGAGGTTCTCTCCTCCCTTCAGAGAAAGGTACCTCCTTCTTTGAAGACCTGTTCTTTCCACTGAGATCTCACTCACAGAGATCTTTTGCCAGAGTGTCTTGGCTTTCCATGCCTGAAATACTCTCATGGGCTTTTCAGCCAGATCCGAATGCCTTTAGGGCTTATTCTGAGGCCAGAGTGCTATTTAGGACATCTGCCATTCTATGAGTCTGCTGAGTATCTCACTTCCCATGTTGGATCACTCTCCCCTTTATTTATTCTATCGGTTAGTGTTAGCAGGTACTAGACTTGCTTATGTGCTCCCTTTGACTCTTAGTCCTTTCATTATGATCAATTGTGAACTGAAATTGATCACTTGGACTAGTGAGGTGGCATTGGTACATGCCACCTTGATGGGATTAAATTGGAGTACCCTGGTATGTTTCTAACTCTACCATTTGGGGCAAGTCAGCTTGAGCATGTCCCAAATTATACATCTCTGATCCCTGTTAAACATAAGAGTAGGAATAAGAGAGGGAAGAGATGTATAATTTGGGACATGCTCAAGCTGGTATCTATTATAACTTCCTTCCTTGCCACATTGCAGTTCTCCTTCCATTGACATTTACTTTCACGTGCTAAATATGTCCTTGTTCTATGCATTTGATAAACATTCTTGGATAAAGTTATATCCATGAGGAATATGCAGAATTGTTTTATTAGGTGACAAGCATAGTGCTTGAGGGTGTGGACTCTGGATCCACCTGCTTTGGTTGACAGACTATCTTCATTATTCAGCAGGCACATATCTTTGGGGGCTATCAGTTAACAAATGCCACAGCATTTCAGAATCTTCATCTTGACAATGAGGATAGAAATGGTACCCATCTCAATGGGTACTTGAGTGGATTAAATACATTTAATATACTTACAATCATGCCTAGCAGATAGAATATAAATTCTAGTTATTCTATATATTTAATTTGTGGACATGTTATGGAGCTATAGGTATCATTTATCTTTTCCATGAACATTTCACATACAGCTATTTGTAGGACCCCTCCTCCTATTTTCTGTATGGACATTCTTTCTGACTGTTATTTATTATTCTATAAGCATCCCGTACATTTCCTTTTTAATGTTTCTTAAATTTTTAAAAATATTTTTATTTCCATTTTGTTTGAGAAGGGGGAGGGAAGAAGAGAGAGAGAGAGAGAGAGAGGGAGAGAGAGAGACACTGTCTGCAAGTTCACTCCCCAACTGCCAATAATAGGCAGGAGTGAAAAGTCAACCCAAGTCTCCCATGAGGGTAGCATTGATCCAACTACTTGAACCATCTCTTCTGTTTTGAAACATTAATTTGTTTTTGTTTGTTTTTTACTTTTATTTACATTTTTATGAACATAAAGAGAAGAGATTTAATGTTGAACCATCACTTGATGCTTCCTGGTGTGTGCATTAGCAGGAAGCTTGCATCAGAAGTGGAGCTGGAAATCAAACCCAGGTAGCCTGTTAGAATGCAGGTATCCCAATAGCACCTAATCAATGTTTCTAATGCCTGCCCCTGCCTTGTGTGCATTTCGCCTATATATTCCTCATTTACATAGATACCCACGCTGTTTTTATCCCTATATATTGTATAATGAATGTCCTTTACCCCCTGAAAGACTATGAGAGAGTTTTATGCGGATTGTGGACCCTGGTATGATGACTGGCCACCTGGTGTCTGAATATTTTTCCAAGGACTACCATAATGCTGTCTACATGGCTTGTATCAATGATGTTTAGGACTTGACTTCTCTGTTTTCTCCTCACTAACACATTAGGATCTGGATTTCTGATTTTTACCAATTTGTTCAAAGAAAGTGCTTCATTATAATTTTCTTTTTTTCCTTTGTTTTCTTTTTCATTTTTAATAGTAGATGAATTGAACATTTCTTTTTATAGTTATTAGTTGTTCAAGTTTTTCTCCATTCATACTGTTTCTATCATGTTCTTGCCATTTTGTAGGAGCTCATTTGTATTTTAGAACATAATCCCAGGTCCGGCATCATGGCTCACTTGGTTAATCCTCCACCTGCAGTGCTGGCATCCCATATGGGTGCTGGGTTCTAGTCCCAGTTGCTCCTCTTTCAGTCCAGCTCTCTGCTGTGGCCTGGGAAGGCAGTGGAGGATGGCCCAAGTACTTGGGCCCCTGCACCCGCATGGGAGACCAGGAGGAAGCGCCTGGCTCCTGGCTTCGGATTGGCGTAGCCCTGGCCGTAGCGGCCATTTGGGGAGTGAACCAACGGAAGGAAGACCTTTCTCTCTATCTTGCTCTCTCTCACTGTCTAACTCTGTCAAATAAATTTAAAAACAACAACAACAACAAGAATATAATCCCTTCTTAGTTTTAGATGTTACAAATATCTTCTCCTAATCTGTCAATTGTCAGTTAATTTGTTAAGAAATGTGCTTATATTTCTCTTTTTCAGAAGACATTTATTTTTTTTAATTCATCTATATGGTGAATCATAGTGATTATAGTGGTAATGATTTTAATAATTATGATGTTAATTTTGTTAGTTTGTCTTCTGTTTCCTGGATGAAAGCTATTTGGTCATGATACATTTCTTAACCTGAAATCCATTTAAATTTTATCTAGAATTTTCATATCTATGATCGTAAGTGAAATGAGGCCATGATTACTCAGTAGGCATTTGGCCACTGGATGTACTATTCTCTTACAATGAGCTGAGTGTAGTTTGGGTTGTGTTCAACAACTGCTTCATGCTTTGTTCTTTAATATTTTATACTCATAAGGAAGGTTATCTGTCCCTTGACAGTTTGGTAAAATTCATCTGAAAACTGTATATGTGTGAAGAT